ATAAAACAATGTATTCATTTCTAATGCCACCTTTAGATATTATATCTATTCAATGCTTCACTAATGTGCCACAATAATGTATTGTTTTTGAGTTCAAATGTGTTCACTTCAATGTGATTGTTTGTAGTTAAATCAGCATATATTTCTGCCACCCATTAAAACTGCAGCTGGTAATTTTTATAAAAATAACTTTTCAGCAAATATGACTGTCATAATATATAATAATAAATATGTCATATTTGCTGAAACGTTCAATATATCCTGACAGTAGAACATCTGGTTCCTCTGGTCCTCCTAGTGCTAAGAATCCACCATGCCTGTATGAAAACAACCAATCAGAGCTAAGGAAGATATAGAGACGCTTTAAGTTAGAGGCTTAAAGATAGTTGATTGTTGAGCACCTGTATTTGACAACCTGGGAATGAGACGCATGTTTCTTGGCAACCAGAGACCAGGCATCAGCTTTTCTTTTGTTGATAGTATGACCTGTGTTTTAATACAAGCATTCAATCTAACTAGATCGCCGGCCCCACCATGGAAACTTGTAGCATAAACATACTGTAAGCTACTATCATGCATTGTTAAACTGAGAAAACACACTGACTGGTGTTGTTGCTATTCAACAACAGTCTCCCTGTCCCACCTAGTAAAAACATTTCCAACAAACTTGAACTGTATTTGTTTAAAGTGTCAGGACAACATGGAGTGCTGCCTCGTGTGTCTTCAGTTGTGAGATGAAGAGTGTTAGATTAACAGGGCTCCACGCTGCTGTCAGAGCACGAGGAGGGGGCTGCAGGCAGCTGCACCGGCCCACTGCAGATAACAACTCCCACATGTGGGTCATGTTATTGTCCTGAGACAGACCACATGATGGTGTGTGTTTGTGCATGATTTTGATATGCTGACTTTGACTATTTGCTTTAAAAAGTCCCTCTTTAAAAAGTTTCAACTTGAGTGCTCAAAGAGTGTCAACAGCTCGACAAATGTGTGTGTGTGTGTGTGTGTGTGGGTGCGTGTGTGTGCGTTATGCAGCCGCAGAGCAGAATTTGGGTCAGTGGTTCTCTGTAAGTTCAGCTGAACCGACTGGCCCATGTTGTGTTGGTTAGAGAGAAAAGACTTTGGTTTTTTTGTAACATACAGAAATCTGATCACTCACAGGTTTTTTAACTCAAGGACAGGAGGTTAGGATTACTTTCAGTTTTTCCATAAAATGTTTATGGACCTTCTGTCAGTCAAACACCAATCTGACCAACAGCCTAACCTCTAATCACAGCTTCAGGAGCCGTGCAATAGCAACATGCAAACACTCAGAATCACCTTCCAATGAGTCCAACTTCACAAATAATAAGAGCAGCTCTGGCCTAAATCATGGTGAGGAACTTTGGCAGGCACCAGCACCGCCCAGCCACAACTTTCCACACTAAAGGTCAGCCGAGAAAAGCCTGGGCTGTTTCCTCTGGGCTACTCCCCTTTAAATTAGTACCAGGAGCACTGAAGCAAGCCACTGATCGAGCCCAACGCAAGGAGTCTCCACTTTTTCAGATTGAAAAAGAAGAGAGGGAGGATAGAAGATGAAGTAGATAGGGTGGGAACTTCCAAATGAACAGAAAATATACTAATGACCACGTTGAGTCGAGGAGGAGATATGGAAGACAAGCAAAGGGTAAACATCCACCGGAAAGTGAATTTAATCAGAAGACGTCCTGGAGGGCCTGCCAGCCGAACTGATGCTAACGTTAGCTCAGCTTGTTTCTCTGATAATCTTAACCCTTTATAGGGCTGAAATACTTGGAGTGTTGATTGGTGGATATAAGGAGATATTTCTTCTGTTTTGTTTTTTATAAAAGTTCACTTTCAGGCTTGAAAATCAAAGTCAAGCTGATGTCTAGGTGGGCTGCAGGCAGAAACAACAATCTGTGGCACCAGCAGGCTCCTTCCTGAGCAGACATGCTGCAAAAGAAATATGCCACATCATTATACTATGAAAATATGTTATAAATAAGGCATAAGCAAATCAAAATCAAGCCCACTTTGAGTTATTATTATTTGTAAAAGAAAGCAGTAACAGTGAAGTGTATAATATTATATCACCTATAAAAAAACCCTACCAAAATATGCCATAGAAGTGTAATTAAAACCGTCATAAGGAAGTGACCATATATGGTTCCTCACCCGATAAAGGTTTAAGGGTCCAGTGTGTAGGGTTTGGTGGCATCAAGTGCTGTAGTTGCATATTGCAACTCACTTGCTTCACCTTCCCTTTCCAAATGTGCGAAAAACACGAATGACCCTCTAGAGCCAGTCTTCAGTTTGTCTGGGTACTGTAGAAACATGGCGGCTCAACATGGCAAACTCAACGGAAGGCAACCTGAGGCTCCTTCCTGAGGAAAGTTAGAAAATATAAGGGGTAGGGGGTCCCTAAATCAGAATTAGCCCAGGCACCAATTATCCAGGACCACCTCTGTATCTCCTTGCTCATTTTGTATGATATGAGAATAAGAAGAATAGAAGAGAAACATGCATACATACATATACATATACATATACATATATATATATAATAGACAGAACATAGCTGATGGTAAAACTTTACAATCTGAGTTATGGTTGTACAGACTGAGCATATACATATGGGCCTTGTGGCTGCCATCTTTGTTTTGATCAGGAAATAGAGCTGTAACTTGGAAAACAAGTTTTGTTATGATGCAGCAGAAGAATATTTTCACCCAGATTGTTAGAAGAGTCTTTAAGGGTTCTGGAAATACCTCAGAACAGCTGTATTGTAAGTGTTGTCAAACCACCTCCTGGGTTTTTCCATCACCTCTGCTCAGGAACTCCTAGTCTAGTTTAAATACCATCACTATTTCTGTCGATGTCCAGTTAAACTGTTACTGTTCTTAAGGTTTTTGGCAGATGCGTATCTCACCAACATAACCTGAATGCACACATAAAGCTGGTATTCTCAGTGTTTAATCCCATGCTGCAGGATTACAGCAGACATCAGTGTGGCTCCTGTGAAAGCATTCACTGTTAACATCCCCCACAGGGACAGTTTATTCTCACACAGTAACCTGAGTGGCTGCTTCCCTTCCCAGCCAAGATGACAACACTTTTCATAAACCTGTGGAGCTCTCGCTTCTCCCTTCTACTTGCAGAGAGAAGTGGTCTGACGGGAAGTCACAGAAATCACATAGAGGTATAGTGGAAAAATCTGTAACATCTCTCCAGGACAACTAAGGCACTAGCACCTCAAAGTTAGCAGATGGCCACTGTGGACAAAAGCAACACCAGCTTCACTCAACCCTCATCAACTACTGTAAAGCTGCAGGTTATTTTTCATTAAAATACCTTTCTGTTGAGTCATTTCCCCACTGCAGTATGCAACTGGGGCTTTTTGTGCCAAAACTCCATGGTTTAAGCAGTGAAGCTAATCTCTCTAACAGATTCCACAGGAGCTTAAATGAGGAAATTGGCCCCTTCATTACACTGATAGTCATCAGCTAACTGCTCACTTAGAAAATACACAGAGGGCTATACATGAGTTGAGCCACAGAAGAGAATGATGCGTGCTGTGTTCAGGTTCAGACAGGTCTGACATGTTTCTGAAGGAAAAAAGATCACCTCTCAGAGTAGTGATGGTAAGGTGGGGGGGGGGGGTTCTAATATGCCGCATTGGTGCTATAACAAAAATGATTCCTCCATTAACATATTAAGATATATGTTGGCGTTACACCATCATGCAATTATGTTCTCTTTAGTTATCAATAGTGAAAGGAATTGTACAAATTCAGTAAAACAAATGTAAAGATCCAGTGTATAACATTTAGAAGGATCTATTGGCAGAAATGGCGGAGTCCGCCATGCTGAACCGCCATGTTTGTACAGTTAGCCCAGAACAGACAAACCAAACACCGGCTCTAGATAGGGGCTCTTGTGTTTTTCAAGAGAAGACCGTAGTTTCTCCTACACGTTTGAAATGGGCTGAGCTGTATTCAAATGGTTCGAATCTGCAACTTCATCGCTAGATGCCACTAAATCCTACACGGTGGTCCTTTAAAATATTGGGGGGAGGGTGTTACAGTCTTTCTAAGTCAATGGGAGGGGTCCAAAGAAAGTACTAATTATATCTGGGAGGGTCTTGTTATATTTAAAAGTTAAAGGGAAGGTTTAGCCCACATCCCCACCCCAGTAGTTTATGTACAGCCACCAAATGACACAAAACTGCAGAATAAGGCCTGCAGGCTGTATGACCATATGGAAGTCATATTTCTAAGGAAAATCCATTACTTTGAAGTCCCTGTCAAAAATGTGTGTGATGTTTAGCCATACACATGTACTCACTTTTACTAACAGCTTTATATCATCAGTAAAAACTTGAGGTATTTGGGTCAGATCAGCCCTGCTTCTGTGGGAGTGGTGGAGCAGCCCAATGGCACAAGCAAATCAAACAGCACTGAATAAATACACAGATAAGAGATTCAAAATTCAATCTGTATCATTCAACATGCAGGAAACTCCCGAAGCTTCCAGCTGGAGTCTCCTGACAGCAGAACTGTTGCAGGCCCACACCAGAGCATCAACCATGTCCCATCACCTCACTGTAGAACAACATGTCTTACACAGTCCCAGCAGAGCCATTGTGGATGATAAAATCTGTTTCATTCCAGTTGAACAGGAACAAACTTAAGCAGCCATTACAGACAGCAGGAACCGTTCAGCCTCTATGGAGGAACGCTGCCATCAAAGTGGTCAGTGTGTCTGAACACACTCGACATTTCCTGACACAAAAGTTAGAGAACTGCTGGTTAGAAGCAGGAATACTAGTCCAACGCTGTCCACTGTCTACTGCTGCACAAAGACAACTTCACTCACCTCAGAGTTGAACCATTAAGTCGGTACTGTCCTCCGGTTTTGCTCCATTTTGCTCGTAGTCGCTGCTGCTTCGTTTCGTTCGGTTTTCCGGTGACACCGAGGAGCCTCAATGTCCCCAGCTCGGTCGCTTACATGGTTTACTGTCGGGCAGAGACAGAGACACCGGGTTTGGACCACAGCTCTGAGGTGAGAGACTGTGAGGAGGAGGAGGAGGAGGGGGGGGCACTTTCTTGTTTTCAGGACGACCACGCCCCCTTTTGGGTGAAACAGGCGCTGTAAAAGTGCGCATAGTGATGTCTAATAGTGATGTCTAAAAGCCGCATCGGCGCATTTTGCACATCAAACAATAAAAAAACAATCAATTTACGATCTTCTTTACTTTCCTAATGGAGTAAGGCCAGTAAAAGAAAAGAGGGTGACAATGGTCAACTGTGGGACCCGCACAGGTACTGATGTCACTGAGTCAATGTGTGCCGACTGTGTCTGCAGATTGAAGAGAATTAGAAAACAGTTTTAGTGAGGGTGTAAATAAAGTTTTTACAGTGAAAAAAAATGGCCCTACCATAACACACCCATTTTAAGACTGGAGTTTGGTTTGACAGTTTGAAGCAGAGGGTATTTTAACCTTAATAATTCACATAAACTGAGCTGGCCCACCTTCTAATAATGAACCTTGTAAACAACATAAAGTAACTAGTAACATGCCAATTAATAAACACAAACAGAGATATAAATAATTTAGGAATGTCACATTGGACAGACGACCAGAACAGTAAAATAAAGTGTCTCAATGACAGAAACAGTGTCAGCTGTCAGAAGTATGACATTCAGTAAGGTAGTTGTATGTCCGTCCACTTTAATGGAGGCAGACTGAAGAGATAAGATAATAATAACCTTTATTGATCCCCGTAGGAGAAATTAGACACAGTAGCATAGGGAGCATAAATGGAGAGGATGGGGGGAGGGAGGAAAGGGAGGGAGTGGAGTCCTCTGGGTAAAGAAAGGGGAGACGGGCTGTGGATGAGGAGGGTGGGGTAGCCAAGGTATTAGGGGGTACCTGATGAGGTCACAGGACACAACATAATTATAATCTATCTATAGTCACAGCGGCCATTTTGCAATGAAACAGGGTAAACGCAGGTGTTAGCAAAGCTACTAATTAAGGTCAAACAGAGTCAGGGTGCTGCTGTTGTGCATGCTGGCTCCAGGGGCGGCCTTAAGCATCTGGGGGCCGTTCCAAGAGCTAATGTGGGGCCCAGTGTGTTGACAACTGACAGCTACTATACTGTAGCACTGTGTTTGTGTTCTGTATCAGCTGACATAAAATGTATTAATATTTATATTATTATTATTATTAACTTTATTTCAATTTAAACCTAAATAGTTAAAACAATAACTGCAAGAGGTTTATACAAAATTAGTGATTTGGATGAACTGTTATTACATTTATTTCCTGTTTAGTGAACTTTTACTGAAAGTGAATACTTTATTCTGTATGTTTCTAATCATTTTTAACAATCAACTTAAGAGGCTTCTTTTGTGACAAATTCAGTGTGTTCTTGTCCCTGATGCTTGGCCATAGTTTTATTAGACAATTTACATTTACTTTTTTAGTCAACAAGAAGCTCAGATATGTGTATCTTTAAAGTTTTCTAGCACGCCTTAACCCAAAAAAGCAAACATCCTGCAGGCCTCCATATTTTGCATTTTCTTGTTTAAATCGATCTAAAATAGAAACTATAATAGCTAGAGCGTTCATTCTTCTTGCAGTGGAAAGCTAAGGCCCCTAGTTGAGGTCACTTTATCCAGCAACCTCGTTACTTAGTTGAAATCTGAGCGAGAGCTGACAGGCGCTCCTGGATCCTGGTGGGCCCAGACGGGTCCAGTTCAGAGATCCATTAGGTTTCAGCTGAGTGGCGAGGGTCATTTGAATGAAGTAACCACAGCTCAGCATGGTGGCCCTTTGGGATGGCGGGGCCTGTTTCAATTGAAATGAGTGAAACATAGGTAAGGCTGACTTTGTCCACAAGGTGGCGTCCTTACCAAATTCCAAGAGTTTTCTCTCAGCTGAAGAAAACAGCTTTCTCTGACTTTGCTCCCTTGACATGTAGCCTTTGAATGAAGACTGGAAGAATTTAAGGTTTAATGTTAATGTAACTGCCTCATTAGAGCTGGATTTAGTGCTTTCTTTGTGTGTCTGATGTTTGTGTTTGTTTTTATTTCTATTTACATTGCAACTATGAGCTGTCTTGGCCAGGTTTCAATCTCAAGGGACTTCCTTCTGTTTACCTCTTTAAAATATTATATCTTGCTTTCTTAGCTTTCCATCTCCCTCACTCTCCCATGCTTTCATTTCCTCACACTCGTTTATTAGTCGCTTTTCTCTGCAGCTGTGACATGCTTTTATTGTTTCTGCTTCATCTCCGGCTTGTTTCCCCTTTTTTCCACTGCTTTGTTGCCGTTTGCCACCATCATCATCGTCTTTTGTAACATTTTGTTCAGTAGATGAAACACAAATATTATTCAAATATACTTTTTCTAAATATTAGAGGCAAAATCAGCTTAAAATTATAATTGCTAGCATACACTGTTAATAAATAATAAAAAGGATGTAGAACATAATTTATAGTCTGAAACAAGCAAATGTCAATATTATAATATACTGTATGTAGTATATTTTACTGTTGTGATAACTTGCTGTCAAGATAAACAGTTAAGTTAATGATGAAGTCATGAACAGCTCATAAAGACATGGGGAAACCATTTGTGTATGTAAATCAGTTTATTGCAAGAAGACCACTGGGAACAAGGCCAACCTTTCTCTCTGGCTCTGAGCTCTGCCCAGAGGTCCTCATCAACAAAAATGAGGATTTACAAACAATTCAAAAGACATGAGCATAAAACGACATTAATTAGCTGAAAACTAACTGTTGTAGGCGTACATTCTAAATACTGTATATATCTCAAATATAACTGTTCATCAGAAGTTATTCAAACATCTGTGTGTTTATAATAGCATATATCCCTCTGATATGTACAGCATAATCAAGACAGTGCCTTTATGATCTTGGAAATTCATTAAAATTACACACAAAATAATCTGAATTATGAAAGAGGCATGCAAACCGACCAATTTTTGTCTCTATGTAGCCTACCTGAAAATATAACCCAAACCACTTTCTACTGAGTGTGTAACAGCCACCTTCTGAATATGTAACACAACTCTACAGCACTCTGTTGTGGCTGCAAGAGGAGCATCAACACCTACAGAGGACGCCTTTAATATATATCTCCTCCACGATAAAAATAAAAATACATATCTTCCACATTTTGTTTGAACACATGCTGAAACAGAGTGGCAATACTGTTGACGAAGGTGTTTTTTTTTTTTTTTTGGCTCAAATACAAGCAGGAGAATGGCCACAAGCGTTGGTTTTGAAGCCTCAAATACAAGGGATGGCACGATAGTTCAAGCACTGTGTTTAAGAAACAATATGTTGTGAGAGTTCAAAGGGCGGTGTGCCCGGTGTGTCAGTACGCACTTCCTCTTCTGTCTGAAAGTGAATCTGAGATTCATCACTGATTCAACACACAAGGGGGTTAGCAACAACTCCCGCCCATGTTAGGACCAGTGATAAAAGATTGCATTTTCAGTCCATGTCACCAAATCACAACATCTCCGTGGCAACGCAGCCCTGCCATGCATCATCGTCAAAATCCGCTGCGTTGGTACCAATATACAAATGTTGCAATATCTTTCCAAACTATACAAAACTTATAAATTATAAAGTTCTATGCTTAAATATAAACAACATCAAGTCAGTTTCCAGTACTTAGATTATATATTAGGTACAGTACATTGTACAGCTCCGTCATCACAGAGCGGAGGACGTTCCATTGAATACACTGTACATGATCCAAGGGGCTGAAACTGGTGGTTAGACATGATCTTTGAATAAATTAATTCATAAATAAATCATGATTATGTCTTCCCAGTAACAGCGGTATCCTTGGTTCCCCTCGAGACTGTGACACACACACGCGCACATGCACACACACACACACTCGAGCTGACTCTTAAGTCCAAATCTACGACTCTTACTCCTATTCTAAAAATACTTTTGGCTTTAAGAAGTAACAATGTTATACTCAACTCAGAGACTAAAAACTAATAATTCTTTAATATCGTACAAGAGGTCTACCTTCTAGAGGGAGGTTTAAATTCAGTAGTTAAAAGTTTAGAGTACCTGTAGAGGCTTTGCAATGTTAGAATAATATCTCTAATCAATAAAGTGACAGTGCTGGATGTCAGTTCTAGGGAGATCCCTTTCCTATGTGGGTTTTATTAAAGAAAAATAAAGCCCACATCTACTCGGATATTCCTGTAGAGAGAGAAAGAAACAAACGAGTAGACTATGTGAATGAATAGTGTTAAATATCTAGATTCTCTCTGTCAGTGCAAAGCTAGAGCTGACTTGTGGCTAGCACAGCATGCTGTGTTGGCTGGTACTGAGCATGGGAGACATGTTGAAGCATTTTGAGCGTATTACTGGCAGACCAAATCGCTAGGTAAAACATAAAATATCGTCACTGTCGTCAGATGGTTCAGCTTTGCAAGACTGATCCAGTTGTGCATAAGAGAATCCCATATGTCAGCTAATATTAGTACCTATATAATCCTCAAATATATACAGCGAAAGCCAGTTTTTACTTAAAAATACCTTAATCGTGTGCTTATATCCAAACTTGTACAAAGAGTAACAAACGATCCAGCTAAAAATCGCTGTTAGCGCATGATTTCTCTCTTTCCAGTCAGTTACAGTAGCAGCTTCTTCACCAACAGCAGCCTCACTGTTGGTGTTAATACAGTTACGTCCACTCCAGCCAACCTTTCGGTTCATTAGACGATTGGCAGCAATCTCCGCTGCTGGGACTTTCTTTTCACGCCTCCTGTGCCCAAAGAAACAAAACTTCCGGTGTCTTCTCTCTCGTGTGTGTATTGCACCAAAGATAAATCATATAGAGCTCTATTTTTCTATTTGAAAAAATAAAAGGAAAGACTTGGTTCCAAGGCGCTGAGAAACTGGAAGCCAGGTGAGGTTTCCTCCATTAACCAGAGGAAGAAGAAGAGGAGGAAGAGGAGGAGGAGGGGGAGGGAGGTCAGTGGATGTCTCGGCACATAGGAAGGTTGACGAAGATAAAGACGTTGAACTCGATGAGGATGGAGAAGCACAGAAAGATGGCGTACAGGATGATGCAGGCCAAGCCCAGTCGCCAGTCCAGGGTCCATTTGTTCAAATGGACACCGAGGACCTGCAGGCAGGAGAGAGAGAACCAGTCACATCTGAACTGCAGTACCAGATAAACAGCAGAGGTGGTTACCTTGTGGGTTCCGTTCTGTCGAAACACTGAGAGATTAGCAGCATTGTTTCTGAACAATTCCCGTTTTATGAGCACTTCTGAAGTGGAGCTACAGCAGTGTGAGGGACTGGCTACGCAGGCCATGGTTGGACTCAAGGGGGTAGGTTTGGTTTCAAAGTTGGTAGGGAACCAAGGATGGAGGGAAATATGGAAAAGGGGGAAGGGAACATCAGAGCAGTGGTTCCAAGATTCACTTATTATTTAAGATATTAACTTTAAACACCTTAACATGAGCTATATTCACACACACATATATATATATATACACTCTCTGATAAACAGCCTTTTCCTGCATTTTAAAAGTTCAAACTACCAAAGAGCTACTAAAATAATGGTAGGGAGAAGAAAACACTTAATTTATCAGAAAAGAAGTATGTAGTATGTAAAGAATTGTATAAAAATACCAGGAAAACTAATATTAATTGATATTCACAGGATATAATCTGCTCGGAATTCATTTGCTTGTTTTACACAAACCTCTTGCAGTTATTGTGTTCACTGTTTGGGTTCATTGAACAGTTTATCAGTTGTTCTCTACTGTTATTGCTAAGCATTTACAGTAATATAATATGAAATATCCATTCAACATGTCAGGGGTCATCAGTTTACCTAATGATAGAAAAAGGGGCCCTTAAGGAAAAGGATGGGAACCCGAGCTTTAGAGGATATGGTATGGAGCAATGCATGTACAAAGGAAGAGAAGAAATTATATAAAAAAGGAAGGAAATGCTCTCAACACATTTGTTAAACCTCAAAGATCAGTGCAATGCATTCGGTGAGTAACACTGAATGTAAACATAACTTTCTTTTGTTTACAAGGAAAGTCCACAGGGCACCTTTAAGCTGGCACAGCTCTGCTCACTCATGCCATAGGGACCACGCTAGTCTACTGTGCATCACACCACTGCACACTGCTGAAAGCTATGCTGTTATTTGCTACTGCTACTGCAACAGAGTACTCCCTGTCAGTGTTGGGGATAATGGTTGTAATTCAATAATCAGTTCTTTAGTTATGTTTTCAAATAAGTAATCCAGTGCTGTTCAAATGTTACTGTATTTCCTTGTTCCTTTTGTTGCCACAAAAAAAGAAAAAAGAAAATCCCTGCTGCATTCGCACTGTTTCTGTTTCTTTCCTACTTCATACGTCTGTGATTCTTGTTATCATCCTGCATAGTACAGATTACAGGCCGTAGATTAAGCCACGCAGTGACAGTAGAGTCAATAAATCCAGGTGCAGTAGGCTACACATCCTATGGACCAGGTGTCTCCAACCTTTTTGAGAGGGAGAGCTACCTAAATGGAGAAAACTGTCAGGAGGGCTACTCTGTATACTTAATGAACATTAATGTTGATGCTTTCAAGAAAATAACATAAAAGTGTGTATTTTCCCCTTCAGTCATTTGATTTGGAATTGTGATAGATCATTAAAATCTAAAAGTGCAGCTCAGAGAAAGTCGGTAAGGGCTCAGGCCACCATTTGGGACACAGAATGAACACCAGACACAGAAGGGCAGAATGGGGAAGCATGGTCTCAACTCAGAACATTTAACAAAGGCTACTCTCAATATACTGTTTTAATGAATAAAAACATATTAGTAATGGATTTCAATGTTTTGACACAGTGGAACCCGTTTGTACACCTTCTTGGAAGTGTTATGAAAAACAAATATTGAAAGTTAGTGAAGTTACTTTGAGCTTGGTGTTTCTTTCTGGGGAGTGATAAAGTGCCATCCATTCCATACATCCCCACATCAGCCGGATGAACTACATTTCCTTCTCCATCTCCATCTTCTTAGACTAGACTAGATTTGAACCTGATGTTGAATTTCACAACACAAAGTGATGTTGAGTGACTCTATTGATGTGTAGAGATCTCGCCTCACAGACTCTGTGCTTGTCAACAGCACACAACAATGCAGGCAGGATTCCATTGAACCAAAATAAAAAACTCTGTGGTTATAAATCTATGGTTGGATTCAAAACTACAAAGATGTTAGATGAATATGTTTTTCGCCCCCAGAACTGCCAGAATGGCCCAGTTCAGTAAACTGTAACAGTCTGGTACTTACTGTGAAGAATACTGAGGCCAGTAAGAGTCCAACAGAGAATATGAGTCCTCTGCTGTTAAGATAGATCTGAGGAGACAAAAACAGAGATTAAAGTATTTTTAAAATGTAGGATTCATGCAACCAGGGACTGACTTTAATTACACCTGTTCCAAATGTCATTTTCTAGTGTGAAGAGTAATCAGCAGGCCAATTAACACATAATATCTTCAGTGTAAGGTGATAAACTGTGCAGCAAACATTACATGGGTGTATTTGTCCTCCCCCACTGCCCTGCACTGAATATTACAGACTATTGTTCCTGTCCTTTATGAGCGCAGCTCTGTTCTATTCCGGTCTAAGTCAAGCAGAATTTCCTCCGGCTGAGCTGAGAAACACTCACGATGGAGCCGTAGTCGATGCAGAGTGTTTGCAGTGCCCAGGGCAGGCCCAGGCCAACCAGGATGTCAAACACATTACTGCCTATGGAGTTGGAGATGGCCATGTCTCCCAGACCTGAGGCAAGGAGAGCAACACTGTCAAGGTCTGTATACAGTCAGGAGACAAGTCAGTTATGACAGGCAATACTCTGCTGTGGAACTCCTTCTCTTTACAGCATTTTGGCTTTGTTTCGCTCAACACAAATAGTGCTGTTAACTTCCTGTGTTTGGTTATACCAGAGAGTTTGTGTGTGTGTACCTTGCCGTGCGACTATAACACTAGCCATGCAGTCTGGGACGCTGGTGCCTGCTGCTAGGAAGGTGATGCCCATGATAACATCAGGAATGCCCAGAGTGAAGCCGATCACAGTCACCTGAAACCAAACAAATATTGGTCTCAATACACTCCTCCATATTTATTTCAGTTCCCAAATAGTTCCCACCTGGAATTAAATCACAGTAGTGTAACAGAGTTTTATGCACCCTCAACAGTTTAGGACAAAATGTAACAATCCTCCTCTTCCTGATCACAAGAACTTTCAGTTCAGTTCAGTTCAGTTCAGTTTGCCACTCTGTTTTATAGGAAGAGCATATTTCTAGCATTTTATTGAATTTACAAACGCTTTACTGTCTGCTTGGTGTTCCATTCAGCTGAGAAGAATATATCCTTTGTCTATCAGTGGTCACTGAAATAAGGCTGCAACGAACAATTATTTCATTATCCTTTCATTTGTTGATCATCTTCTTCATTTTTTGGTCCATAAAATATCAGAAAATGTTTACCAAAGCCCAAGGTGACTTTCTTATTTTGTCCACAACCCAAAGATATTCAGTTGACTGCCACTGACAACTAAAGAAACTAGAAAATATTCACATGTGATCAAAGAATTTGGACATTTTCTTAAAAAAATAAGTTATGAATCGATTATCAAAATAGTTTGCAATTAATTCAGTAGTTGACAACTAATTATTAGTTGATTAATTGTTGCAGCTCAACAATGAAAGCAGGAGCAGATCTAGAGGAGTGGCATGGGGGGCAGCTTCCATCCTAGTTTGGTGTCAAATTCTGTCAAATGTCTGAAGATTTGTAATAAAATACTGATACCAATAATGATAAATATTGATTTCTAATGCCACCCTTTTGCCACTCCATGAATATTTCTCTAGAATAGCCCCTGACTGAAAGCATTCTATTTCCGTCTTATTAAGGGACTGTATGAAAATGATTGGGCAGGGGAGGGGAGCTAAACATCTTCATTGAAAAAACTGCATCACCCCTAATTACCTTAAGTTAATAAAGAGTTAACATTGCTGTGCTCTTGTTTAAATCTTAATAAGTTCATGGAACAATAATTTTCTGATTTCTCATCATTTATACAAATTTAAATTCACCCATTAGTAGAGTAAGTTGCCAATGTGTAATGCTTAATACCTGCATTATATCACAGGCTACCATTTCAATTTGCTGTAGTCCTGCTTTCTGTTATGATGCAGATTTAAGTGTCACTAATAACTATTAAGATCCACTAATGTTTTGTTTCTCAAACTTGATACACTGGTCCTATATTAGTGGTTGAATTTGACAATTGTTGTTAATGGTTGATTTTTCCCCTCTGCATATGGTCAAATACACCTTATAGTTTTACTTTTACAATAAAAACATGACAATAATTTGTGTAAAGCTAAATATGAAAGCCCTGAAGGATAATATCTCCCATTTTCCTGAAGGCAGTTTCAACATTCTTTAAAGCTCAGGATGTGTTTCCAGCCTGTTAGAGAGCGACTGTACTGACCATCCAGACCATGATGTAGGAGAGGCCAGCGATCCAGATGGTGGCGGTGAAGAAGGACACCATGAACCATCTCTCCCAGCGGCGCTTGGCACAGTTGGGCACGGTGAAGAACAGAAGCAGGGACAGCGGCCACATGGTCAGCCACTTCAGCTTGTTACACGCACCAGCTGGAGAGGGCGGGGAAACCAGAGATGATAACAAATATGATGATGGCTCCAGTGACAGCGCTAATAACAAACATTTATTGCCGGTCAAAATGTTCATCTGTGCTGTACCTGGAATTTTAAATGGCACCAGGGGGCCATTACTGTCATCTTCTCCCTCTCCTTCCTCGTCGTTCTCGTTGTTCTCATTATCCTCATTTTCATTCTCTGTCTCGTTCCCAGACTCCAGTCGCTGAAGTCTGCACCTCCCGTTCAGACCCTGCTCGGCCCCGCCCATCCCATTCTCTAAGCCCCGCCTCCCCTGAGCCCTGGCGCCTGAGTCAGAGTCGCCGTTAGTGATGCGGTTGACCCGAGTCTCAGTGGTGTTGATCAGTCTTTGTCTCTGGAATTGATTATAGAACATTATTATAAACAACATTAAGATTACTTTTATTATTTCATTAAGGTTATAAACAAACACTCGAGCCTTCTAGAATGTGACCAAAGGTTAAATCATTTGTCATCCTCTAGACCCCGTTTTTGCTTCAAGAGGATATTGGCTATTTTATAAGGAACCCACACTAATGAACTGACTTTTTCAACAAGTTACAGGAACTACAGATGTGTTAAATATGCACATTGTTCTAACACATTTGACACTAAGACTTCTAATCACCTGCATTCAGGAAAGAAACCAGGCATTTTTAATATTATGAACTGAACACCATTGAACATTATGAACTTCATGAAGCACAGGATTTGAGCTGGTTTTTGTGACATTACAATATTAACTTGTAACTCTCTCTACAGGTAATTTAGACCCTTAGAGAGAGATGAGACACTAGGTCACTTGGCCTACCCTTTAGGATATTTGTCCAAAGGTATTAAGCTTATCCTATTCAGTCAGCTGGACATGGATAAGGTTTCTTACTGTTATATGTAAAATGGGGTAATTCTTAGAATTCTGTTAGACTTATGATTCTAATGATGTTTTTATATTTATCTTGCTTTGTCTTTTGCATTGTGTATTTGTGTGTAATATTGTATGTTTTGATATACTACTTTTACTTTGTAAAACAGATAAAACACTTGAAAAGAGAAAAAATGAAGACTGTGATAGCTGGTCATGTGACCCCATCACACCTGTGAGTGCTCATGTAATTTTGCTGAGGAAACCTGAGCTACTACTAAACAGAGTAAAGTCATTCCAGTGTGCTTTGCTAATTTAGACTTTTAGACAACATTAAGCTTTGACTACAATACTTCCATTAACACGTTTGGACATTTTGTATTGCTGTTTTGTAGCATGGTGGTAGTGGTAGTCTGATCTATTTTGAGTCTTAACTACTCAAGTTTGTTTTTATGTATATTATAGAAATCAGAAAAAGCCCCTAATATTTGTCTGGAACAGAAGTTAATGTTCTTTTCTCTTCTTTCTTTCAGAAGCCTAAATTTGGTTGTTTGGTTTGGATTTACATCCAGACTGTAGCCTGCAGCAGACAGGTGCCTGACAGACAGTGTTGGCTGCAATATCCAAAAGAAAATTCACATTCACTCCACTCCTTCATCTGCTGAATGCAGACAGGGTTATTTGGTTTGTATTTATGCTAAAAACTGGTTTGGCAGGGATTGTTCAAAGTAACTTAAATTGGCAAAACAAAACATTTCTCTTGAGGGTAACATTAGTGCTTTATTCATTTATTTGTTGTTGGTCTGTTTTTAACCTGTCTGCTATTCTATTCAATCTATAGTTGTCTGCGGTTTGACCGACTTACCGACCTACCTACCCACCAGCAATTTTAAATAACTTGTAGCATCGAAAACTACTTAAGTCAACATAGAGTCCAACATAGTGTACATAGGCATGTGAGTCCACGTATAGTTTAGCGTATACATACCTCATTGATAAGCATGCGCGAGGCCATGGTGAGGCGGGTTCTGGGGGAAAAGTGACTGGTGATCATGATCCTCATGCCGGCCTCAGAGAAAGACAGCTGGTGGGGGTATGC